TTTGCTGTAAAGTCGCCACAGCTCATGGTACTGAGAGCCATAGGTGTGTGACAGAAGGACTGAGGGATGTAATTTTATACATATCCATACATTCAGAAAAAAAAAACCAAGGAAAGAAGGACCTGACTGTAAGTCAGATGGTGAATAGGTACTAGTCCTTCTCTATTCAGCAGTGGTTAGACCTCATCTAGAGTACTGTGTCCAGTTCTGGACACCACACTTTAAAAAAGATGCCCACGAACTGAAACCAGTTCAGAGGAGGGCAGCATGGATGATCAGGGGACTGGAAACCAAGCTCTATGAGGAAGGACTGAGGGAAGATATGGTAACTTGAAAGATATACAGAGGAAGGGCAGGATCTGTTCTCATTCATCCCAGAATGCAGAACACGTAATAGTGGGTTCAAGCTACAGGAAGCCAGGTTTAGGCTGAATAACAGGAAAAACTTCCTACCTGTTAGAACAGTGCAACAATGGGACATTGGGAGGTGGTGAGTGCTCCAATGCTGGAGGCATTCAAGAGTGAAATGGACAACCATCTGTCAAATCTGCTTTAATATGAATTCCTGCATTGAGCAGGGGGTTGAACTTGATGGCCTTATAGTCCTCTTCCAACTCAATTATTCTGTGATTTTAATGCACTAATGTTACATTTTGCTCCCTTTTTTTACTTTGTAAAACATAACACCTTAAATAACATTTAAGATCTTAAAAATAATATTTTAACAAAACGTGTAATGAGCTATCCCTGAGTGTACACGTCACAGCAACCAATCTTCTATCACACCTAGCACCTCCATAGGAGATTCACACTATAGAAAATTACTTGCTCCTGGTCTCATATATAATTTAGTTAGAGAAATGTTTTTAGAAGTTTTCATTTACAGCAAAAACATGTCTAATCTCAAGTGGAGAAGTAAGCTTCAATTATTCACATGATTCCTAAGCACAACTATCTCTGTAGATGGTTGTTGTGGGTTTTTCAGGCTTCTTGGCCGTGTTCTGAAGGTGGTTTTTCCTAACGTTTCACCAGTCTCTGTGGCCGGCATCTTCAGAGGACAGCAAACTGTGCTCTGGTGTAGTTTGGCTAGGGCGTGGAGTATTTATGGCTGTGAGTTGGGATGATTAGTGTGTATTGTTGTGGGTGTATTGTTTTCTGTGGATGGGTGATTAGTGTGTTTTGTTGTGGGTGTATTGTTGTGATAAGGAGATTATCTGTCACTGTGGTTGATAGTGGTGATCCCCTTGACCTTGTGGTTGGGTAGAGTTCGTGACCTTTTGCATGCTGTATTTTTGAGAGCTGGGAGCCAAGTTTTGTTGAGTTTCAACAAAACACACTAATCACCCATCCACAGAAAACAATACACCCACAACAATACACACTAATCACACATCCACAGAAAACAATACACCCACAACAATACACACTAATCATCCCAACTCACAGCCATAAATACTCCACGCCCTAGCCAAACTACACCAGAGCACAGTCTGCTCTCCTCTGAAGATGCCGGCCACAGAGACTGGCGAAACGTTAGGAAAACCCACCTTCAGAACACGGCCAAGAAGCCTGAAAAACCCACAACAACCATCTACAGAGATAGTTGTGCTTAGGAATCATGTGAATAATTGAAGCTTACTTCTCCACTTGAGATTAGACATGTTTTTGCTGTAAATGACTGATCTCCTCTCACACATCACACACACCTTATATAACCCAGCTCCTCCCATTTCTGCACCACCCTCCGTCCTCTCATTGGCTGAGGTTCCCCTGCCCAGCTATGACGGACAGGTGAGAGCAGAGCTGAACGGCACACCCGCATTACGACGAATCCGCTTTACGACGATCTTTTTGTGATCGCAATTGTGATCGCAAAATGATGGTCTAAATGGGGGAATTTCACTTAGCGATGATCGGTTCCCTGCTTTGGGAACCGATTTTCGCTTTACGACGATCAAAAACAGCTGATCGTCAGGTTTTCAAAACGGCTACCGGGTGCTTAAAATGGCTCCCCGCTGTGCTTAGGGATGGATTTCTTGCTATACAGGCAGCGAAAATGGCCACCGTATGGAGGATCTTCACTGGACGGTGAGTTTTTACCCCATTGGGGTAAAAATGCGTTTCAATGGGTTTTTTTTATTTCGCTTTATGATGTTTTGGCTTAACGGTGATTTTCCTGGAACAGATTATCGTCATTAAGCGAGGCACCACTGTACTCATTCAGAGTTTTGGGTTTAAACTGTAACCATAACAAACCAGTCTTCCCATCCCTAATCTTTAACACTGGTGAATTAATTTTCAGCCTAACATTCCAAGCTCTGGAAACATGACAGCTTGGGAAGCCACTTCTTTCAGTCAGCAAGGATTGTGCCGTACAAGCATCAGAAGCTTAATTATGTAGGATTTGTCTAGTGCTGGAACAGCAAGATTATGCATCTTCTTGTCTCACTTTTGGGTCCTGCAGGAGATGGCAGCATAACAGAGCATTGTTGCCTTTGGTAATTCCTCCACAGTGATGTTTAATACTGTTCTCAATCTATTTTGCCATCTGAGAGTACCGAAAAGCAGGTTAGGGGTATTTAAATCAGCAAAGTTTTTCTTCCCTCCACTGCATTTTATGTTATTCAGTCCTTTAAGAAGCAAGTAAACAGAATGCAGCACAAATCCAGTGGAAATGTTGCATTCAAGCAGAACACATGTCCACCAGTTTAAGGAAGGATTAAATATAATGACCCAGTTAATCCTTAAGAAATGAATGAATCATTCAGTGAATTTTGTTCAGATGAAAATTGCGAGTATTAAATAATCTTTCATATTATTGCTGGGGGAGAGGGGTTTCCCAGTGGAGAGGTGAGCTCAAATAGACAGTAGAGAATTGTTCCTTTGAGACAACTGCTCTGGTAGTATCCATGCATGTTCATATATGCTCTGTTCTGCTGACATGCCTTTTTTTATTCAGCAGAACAAGTGGGTTTGTATGTGTTCAGTTCTCTGTTTCCGCCCCAATCCCTGTGCACCATCAAAGGCAACTCTGTGCTCCCGGTGGTGTAGAAATTCATTGGTGTGATGGTGTTGATGAACTGCTAGTGAGGGCACACTGACTGATTTCAGTGGAACTAGTTTTGTACATAGGAGTCTTAATGTTTGTTTCCCTGTATGTTACTTCCATGTTTCCAAAGTCAAAATGCATGTGCAGTTACGCAGAACGCAAAAGAAAATCCTGCTAGAAAAAAATACTGTAAAAACTTGAAAATGTCCATGTTCTGTATACCTTCAAGCTGGACCAAAATAAAAGGATCGGATCACCCAACAGTGTTTTTTAGCTTCTCTTTAAGAGCAATCATATGGTTAACTCAGTAGGAAACAACATGTTGATGACCTCTTTTTTTCCGGTGGAAGCAGAGAGCAATGCTATAAGCAACAGAGGGGAAACAACGTTCAAGGACAGCATCTTGTTTCCTTCCTGATTTACCCTCTTTATTCCATATTCTGCAAATAATTACTTGTCTGAGAAATCAGTATACAGGAGAAAAGAGTTGTGTAGTTTGTTTTTTTAAAAAAAATGTTTCCAGAGAAACTAATAACTGCTCAAGAGACAGAATGCATAAATTTGTTGAAGTATACAATCTTTCTGAGGTTTGGCTTCAGTATGGAATCAGTACTAGTGATCAAAAGAGAACTGCAAAACGTACAGAAATGTAAAGGGGATCCTGTTTCTCGGTCATTTGTTTACTTGCTAAATGTAGATGTAAAGAGCTGTGTCTGATACCGAGAATTCAATGCACCTGTGATTGTTTCCTTAGTGTGTTTGTTGGATTGTGGAGGAATTAGTACAAACGATTTCCATACTTTATCTTTAGCTAAGCAGGATCCTTTTGGGTCTGGTTAGCTAAAACTATCACAATGCAGTTTATGGATCTGATTTTCTGCAACAAACACTATGTACTTGCAAAGACTTTGATGTTTCCCTCAATTGTCACTGGTCATTTTGTGTGTTCTGTTTCATGGTTTTTGATGGTACAATCACTAAGGTATATGAAAGAAACTCCTTTTCCATTGAAGTACTAGCTTTCATTTCCGAAGAGGGTGATAGCTTGGTGACTGAGGCTATGCTGTGTTCTGATGATTATATATCCATCAGTGGTGAGGTGTACAGACAAGTATCTTTGGTGAACACTGTAGCTGCTGGAAAGATGGGCTTGAAGAAAGAAATGCCACCTCAACATTTTCAGAGAAATGAGAGGAAGCATCTTATTAGCAACCGAACAGACCTATCATCAATTGTTCTCATATTAATGAATGTCTTCCTAAGAATTTCTATGGAAGAATAACACTTGTTTGGAAAAAGTAATTCTAGTTTTTAAGTTGTCACAGCAGCCCTTCCTCAGTGTGAATAATGAATATTGCACACTAATTCCGATTCCCAGCCATCATGGCCATATTTGGGTGGGAGAAGTTACTGTAGGAGAGGCTCCTTTACATTGTGGATGACAAAAAAATGCAGCACTGGTGCAGTGGAAATTTTTGTCCAGCTGTTTTACCTCGGGATCACCTGTCACATAGTTATATTTATTTGATTAAAGTTCTTTTGTTAATTTCTCCAGCACCCTCAGTATGCAAGGAGCTATGGTATACAAGAGGACTGTTCTCTGTCCAGTTCTAGCGAGCATTCACAGATTAGATTGCAGATTATTAGGTATATTCCAATCTGTTAGGGGAAGAAATAGCACATCCTGCAACAAAAAGGGCCCTTTCTGTTTCCCGTTAACTTGTTTCCCCTATTTTATTGCTGGATAGATTGAATTTCACTTTTGCCCTAAACTCAGTTAACCCAGTTGAAACACACTGGGCTAGCATAGTACATAACTGTGATTGAATTCTTTTTTATTTTAGGTAAATATTTACGAAAGTTCCAAGTCATTATACCTGAACCTGTCTTGAAACCAGTGTGATACTACAGGTGCCCCATATCCTAAATCTTTCCTCCTTGTTTCTTGCAGATGGCTACACAACAGATGACATTGAATTTTACTGGCGTGGGGGTGATAATGCAGTTACAGGAGTGACAAAGATTGAACTTCCACAGTTTTCCATTGTAGAATACAAGCTTATCACCAAGAAAGTTGTTTTCTCTACAGGTTTGTGATGGGGAACTACAAAGGGAGTGCTTCCATTTGTCCACTGACAAGCCAAACATATGCTATGTGTTGTATGACCCAGTGGTTAACTGCATGAGTTGCATAAAGCATCGAAGGCTTTTAAAGGAGCTTTGGATCAGCCAGTCTCTTAAAAAAACTATGCAGTGGTAGGTGTACTAAAGCGCTGCAGTCCTATGCGCATCCACCTAGGAGTTAACCTCACCGAGCACAGTAGGATCTGCTTCTAAATGAATATGCACAGGAGTTTGTTGCATGAATAGCAAATACATTTGTATTTGTCTGTGATGTATATTGATGGCAATAACAACAGCTCATGAATGGTAAGCCTGAGCCAGTGTAGTATGCAGCAAATCTATGCTGAATGTAGCCTTAGTCCCAGACAGTAGAGACCCATTGAAACGAAATAGGGCTGAATTAATGCCACCTAACAAGTCTCACTAATTTCTGTGAGTTTACTCTGTTCGGGACTTAAATTGAATTCGGCCTCTGCTCTCAATGCCAAGCAGCAAAGCAATCAACTTTTTCCACCCACTTAAATTGCTGAAACATACACAGACCCTTCCTGGTGCTGTGTAATGGCACCCCAGGGGATGATAATTAGCTGCCCCCCTTCTGTTGCACAGATTTCTAATCCTAGTTCAATGGGGCTATTTTTGGTTTTAGCAAACAAGCAGTCCTCAACAGAACAAGAGATTACTTTATGTAACTGACGGTGGGGAAGCAGCCTTCCAGACTGTCTATTAAGTCTGACCAGGTTCATTAATTTTTTTGTGTGTTTGTGTGTGTGTGTGCGTGTATTAGCTGCCCCCCTTCTGTTGCACAGATTTCTAATCCTAGTTCAATGGGGCTATTTTTGGTTTTAGCAAACAAGCAGTCCTCAACAGAACAAGAGATTACTTTATGTAACTGACGGTGGGGAAGCAGCCTTCCAGACTGTCTATTAAGTCTGACCAGGTTCATTAATTTTTTTGTGTGTTTGTGTGTGTGTGTGCGTGTTATAGATTTCTATTAATTTTTTTGGTGTTTGTGTGTGTGTGTGCGTGTTATAGATTTCTGTAGAAAGAGAAACTGTCCTCCTTTTTTGGATTTTTGTTAGGCATCAGAGACCAGAGTGGAAGCAGAATGGTTAGCACTGCCCTCCTTGCATGGGAGAGGTTTCAATGTTTCCCAATGGAACTCAGAACTGCTTTAAAAGGTGGTGCATTTTTACTTCCCAGACATTTCCAGTCGGTTCTCCATGGTCTGGTTTTATACCTTCAGTGTTTCCCACTGGAACTCAGAACTGCTTTAAAAGGTTGTGCATTTTCACTTCCCAGACATTTCTAGTCGGTTCTCCCTGGTCTGGTTTTATGCCTTCCCCCCCCCCCCCCCACNAGAGGCTACTTTTGCTCTCACATGCACTTTTGATGGTTTCATCATCTCAAAGTATCAAGACCAAGAAACCAATGCTGTTGTAAATCGTGTTTAACCATTAAGGTGGATAGTGCAACATAACGTCAAACATGACATTTGTTGCTTGGAATAATTAAAATTATGTAGCCATTAAAGAGAGAGCCAGTTTCACACCTTGACATTTTTGGGTGAAGGGCTGGAATCTTGCAAAGTCTATCTCGACTTGCATAAAGAACTTTTCACTTGTCAGAACATGCATAAGTGTTGGAGCTTCATTATATTTATATATGAATATTACAAAAGAGCCCTTTGAAATGTTTGCATGGGCACAAAACAAGAGAAGCTAGAAGTGTTTATGAAGGTTTTTTTTTAAAAAAAAACATATGATTATTTCATATGTATTTACATTTATTCCAGGCATGCTCAATTAGAATAAAGAGCTAGTCACTATTCACTGTAAACTAATAGGTTTTATTTTCAGGTTGCAGAACTCAATAAATGCCTATTTAAAATGCTCTTTTTATTCCAGGCTCCTACCCAAGGCTGTCCCTCAGTTTTAAACTTAAGAGGAATATTGGCTACTTCATTCTGCAGACTTATATGCCCTCCATTCTGATCACAATTCTTTCCTGGGTTTCATTCTGGATTAATTATGATGCCTCAGCTGCAAGAGTGGCTTTAGGTAGGCTTTCTTGTTCCATTAATATTGAATGTGCTAAGTGTACACATTTTCATCCCTTGTACAGACTTATATATTTATATGCCACGGAACACTTCCTGTTAGACTAATTTAATAAACATTATGCAGAGTTATAAGAGAGTTTCTTCTATGTTATGTCTAGTGGCAAAAGCAAAATGTGTAAGTATTTCATCTCAAGTGGCCTCTGTGTGAGGTTTTTTTGTGTGCGTTGGGCTTGTGTACTGTTCATTAAATTTGACCAAAATCTGGGAGGCAGTGGAAGACAGGAGGGCCTGGCATGCTCTGGTCCATGGGGTCACAAAGAGTCTGACATGACTTAACAACTAAACAACAACAACTGTTCATTAAAGTTGCATTTATAGCACCTGATGAAGTATCAATCGCCTAAAACCTAAGCAATTTCATCTATTGAGTAGTTAGCTAGCTAAATAGGAGCTGCACTACTTCATATTAGTCTTGATCAGTGCCATTATTTATTGCATTTTATTTTCCCCACAATAGAATAATTGTATTTAGTTTGATTGTCCCATGATTCCCCCAGCTAAACTGTGGGAAGGGGTGTGGGTGAAGTATTTTGCTTGACATGGGGGAAAAAAATCACAGCTCCAATTTCTCGCTTATGCTGCTAGGGCAAAGAAACTCACCTGACTTAACTCTGGAGAACTGCTGCCAATCAGGAGACATTCCTGAGCAAGGAAGACTGCATGGCTCATATGGTATACGGCAGCCTCCTATGTACCTCACCCCTAATGTGTTAAATAATGGGATTTTCTTAGGTAAAAATTAGGTGAACTGGAACTCTACTTAGTTGGAATAAGGCTCCTTCTGTTTAGTGCCATTTCTTTTTTCCAAATAAAAGGTAAAGCCTGCTAACATAGCACTTGCCAGTGTGCTTCTTTACAACACTAAGGCTCTGATCTAAGGATTTTATCTTGGAGTAATAACTCTTGGCTACACAGATAAGAACCTCCAGTGTCTTCAGCCACACAGTCTTACTGTTGTGTTTCCCCAAAAATAAGGCAGGGTCTTATATTAATTTTTGCTCCAAAAAAGCAGTAGGGCTTTTTTTTCAGGGAATTATTTTTCATGTACAACAATCTACATTTGTCTGGTTGCTGCACAGTGGTGGAGGGCGGGGTTTCACTTGACTAGGGCTTATATTTGGGGTAGGGCTTATATTACGAGCATCCTGAAAAATCATACTAGGGATTATGTTCAGGGAAACAGGGTATCTATCCTGAAACTGTCTAGAACAAGATACTGCTGATATCAACTGTGGTCTAATCCAGACCTGCTGTGTTTGATCCGTGAGATCAGTGTGATTCAGAAGTGCAGCAAGCAGGATATAGCTTTCTGTTGGCCAAGAAAAAGCTAGAAACTAACTGTCCCACTGTATTCTTAAATAGCCTGAATTAAGATAAGGTCCTCTTAAGTCGCTTAGTACAGTATCAATAACTTTAAAAAAAACTAGGTGTGTGTTTGGAAGCTCTCTGAGCCCGTTAATACCTAAATAAAGGGCATATACCTAAGGGTCAACCTGCCTCCTATCATTTAGGAGAAATTCCCACTGCTTTATTCCCAGGTCATTCATGTTGTTTGTGCTTTTCCAGATCTTTGATTTTAAAAGCAACCATGAATAGGGGGAAATACAAAAAGCAATCATCATCATCATCTTAGAATTGCAGAGTTGGAAGGGACCCTATGACATAATTGGAATAAATTTAGTAAACTATGTGAGGGAGAGAAAAAGAGAATATTCCTGAATGAAAAAAAAATTCCAGGTGGAGAGACATAGCACAATTTGAGGTCTCCCCAGCACTTTAGGGATTAGGGTCTCCAGATGAGATCTTGGACTTTACTGGAGAAGTTAAGCTATCACACACTTTTTTTTCTTTAGCCTCAGCAGCTCAGTCTACTGGTTTACTTTCCATTTCCTTAGTTCAAATCACTAACCCTATGCGGTTTTCAACTCTGTGAATACCAAATGTGATACAAGTAATATGTTGTGATATAGCTTCACATCAGGAGTGAGCAGTGGTTCCTTGTTCTGCCCCATAATCAGCACAGAATTGCACAAAAACCCCTGATTGTGTCCATTTTTGGACATTTGTTCAAAGTCACTGTTAGTGACTAGAAACAACAGGGTTTTTGTTGTTGTTATTGTTGCTGGCATGGCTGTTCATTTGAAGTCAGTTCCCAGTAATGAGCTATCAAGTTCCTTTCACCTTGAATCTTGCCTTCAGTCTAAAAGTACAAATACAAATAGAGAGTAAACCAAAGTTGGTTTCCAGAAGAAGCATTGCTATAAAACAGATTGAGTGTATTGTACACTATCACCTTAATTCAAGTTCTAGTGATCTCTTAGACTCCAATTCACGTCTCCAGGCAAGGTGCTCCTAAAAATTGATCTCAAAAATTCATACCGCAAGGCAACGCATAAGAGATTTTCAAGTAAAAACAGCACAATATGGAAGAGTGTAGTCTGGATCCTGCCTGCACCATTTATTCATTATTGGGAGTTAATACAGTTAAGCAAATGAAAAGATCATCACAATTACCATGTTTCCCCCAAAATAAGACCTAACCTAAAAATAAGCCCTGGTCTGATTTTTCAGGATGCTCGTAATATAAGCCCTATCCCAAAAATAGGCCCCAGCTAAGTGAAACCCCACCTTCCACCATTGTGCAGCAACCAGATTACATCACTGTATTTGAATAGATGTAGATAGTTATACATGAAAAAAATAAAACATCCCCTGAAAATAAGCCCTAATATGTTTTTTAGAGCAAAAAAATTATATAAGACCCTGTCTTATTTTCGGGAGAACACAGTACTTGATTTCCATAGGTAGTAATGTTCTTAACAGTGTCACAGAAAAGCAAAGAGGCTATGAAAATGTGTGAACAATGCCTCGTCTAAATGCCTCTCTCATCCTCCAAAATCAATAAATTATTGTACTCTGAGCAGTGCTCCTCTTTAAACATTGGCATGTAGTAGCCATATTTCAGAGGGAACACACTAAATTGGAATTTGTGATACTTTTTCTAGGGATTACAACGGTGCTCACTATGACAACCATCAACACCCATCTCCGAGAAACACTGCCCAAAATTCCCTATGTGAAAGCCATCGACATGTATCTGATGGGATGTTTCGTCTTCGTGTTTATGGCCCTACTGGAGTATGCATTGGTCAACTACATCTTTTTTGGTAGGGGACCACAACGTCAGAAGAAAGCAGCAGAAAAAGCTGCAAGTGCTAACAATGAGAAATTACGAATGGACGTCAATAAGGTAAATTGAAATGAGATATATATGTATATAGCAGTCCACAGTTGCAGCCTTAGATCATTCCTTCCTTCCAAACAGAATCTTAACATCCATTTCCTCTTCTCTACAAGTCTAGTTTCATCTTGGTTTTCAACACAGAGTCTTAAAACCGTTTTGTACATTCTCAGTAAACCCAGCACTTAGGATGTAAATTAGTATAGTCTAATGGAAGAAGAGAGTTAATCCTATTCTGTGAGGCAAAAAATATGCTATGGCTGATACTCACCTATCAGTCTTATGGAGATATTCACAGAAATAAGTATATTAAGTATATTGGGGCTGAATCCTAGATAATTGGGTAGAAGATTGCAGCCTAAAGACACTAAATAGGCCAGAAGTAGGGTACATTATGGAATCTTCTAGGGTAGTGGTTCCCAACCTGGCTTTTCACAGGTGTTTTCAGACTGAAATTCCCAGAAGCCTTCACCATCAGCTGTTACTGATGTTACTGATGTTGAGCTGGGTTATTGCCGATTGGAAACCACTGTTCTTCTGAAATGCCCTGACTCTCTAACTTCTGTGTAAACCAGTTAAATACGACAAGCCAGAGGAAATTATTTTTTGTCATGGATAAACTGTGGTTTTTAGGGTAAGAGGAGCCAACATCCTAGTTTTTGGAACACAACCAGGAGTGAAGGTACCCAAATCTAATGCAGGAAATAAATTCCAGCAGAATATTACTTATCTGCACACTTATTTGATTAAAAGAATAAACTTGAGAGACACTTTTAATACATCAAAAACATAATCTGACTTTTCTTGGGATTTTCTGAAGCTTCATTTTCAAGTCATATTCATTCACTCAGTCAGCATTCAGTATCAGCAGAACTGGGATGGGGCAATTCTGCTAACATGTTTCCCTCAGATACTCATCCACACCTGCAGTGGGGCATTCTCTCACCCCTAGTAGCTGCCTCCATCACCTGTATATGTGTTCCATAGTGTTTTCCAGCTCTCCCCAACAGAATGTGAACTCTTATGGTGATGGGGGGGGGATTGCCACTCCTACTTCTGCTGACAGAACTGCTTCATATAAGGGCTTACTCTCATCTTTCACCTTCTCAGAAGACCAACCCAAAATGATGGATAAAATGGGAAGTACTAGAGAGCTATATGAAGCTTTGTAACATCAGAAAATGTATTAAGTTATATAAACTAGACAGGGTGTACACTGTCTAGGTAATATATAAATTTTGGAATATGGTTATTTCAGATATGTAGTTTAATTTCACAGAACTACATAATGAATGTGTTTAATTATACATTTCTGTAAAATGGTACATACAGAAAAGAAAAATTATACACAAAAAGAAGTTCAAACTCCATGGCAGCATTTTCTCAGATGCTGAAAATTAAAGAGTGGCACACCAGAAATACATTGAGCTCACACAGCTCTGGAATTTTTATTTGCCCATCTCCAGGTTATTTACACTGGTGCTGTGGTAATTTTACTTGTCTGGGGGTTGCAAATGCATTAAAATAAACTACATAAAGGCAGGATAAACTGTTAAGATCATGATCACATTGGTTTTATCTTACTTCTGTTCATATTAGATTCAAAACATTCTGTGTGAGAAAGAAAGAAGACTATAGTGGCATGGAAGTTTAAGCAATACTGTACTCTGCTTCCTTAGAATTTTGTGACAATAAAAGAATGTCCATAACTATGGGTAAAACCAATATACAATCCAGTAAAATGAAGCTGCTAGTGCAGGCAAACCCTAATCATCTTTCCTTAGAAATGTAAGTCCCAACAACTTCAGGGCAATTCGCTTCCAGTTTTAATGTGCATTGAATTCTGCTAGAGTTAGGGAGAATTCAATATGAATATTACCACCTGAGTTTAGCTGAGTTGCACATTCCATAGAGGATATTCTGCCCATAATATTAATCTCAGTCAGTCTTGAAACCAATAAAATTTTCAATACTTTGAGCATAATCTAGTGAATAATTACTAAGTTCCTTTAGGTCCAGCAGAGTTGATATTCAAATCCATAAATATGTAGCTTAGTTAGGCTTTACACACAGACTTTCATTAACACAACAACAATTGCACTACATTCAAAATTGCATATGTTCTTTTAGACCATATCAAGCTGTTGTTTTATCTGACTACTTCCACTTATAATATATGGATATGTGGCATGCTTGCCACAATTTTTTTTTAAAAAAAGTAATGATTCCATGTTTTTGACAACATGTGTTGATTTTCCTCTTTTTTCCCCAATCACAAATACTGTGCTATGGGCAATGCTTTCATTGTAACTCTTCCTTTAGCATCCCTCCATTGTATCATTATAGCCCTTTTCCTAGCTGTTTTTAGCATCCCCTTTATTGTGACTTCATGCTAATGATAAATCAGAACTACTATTTTATTGAACTGAGGACCTGAACTGTTTCTCTCTGAACAGGCATATTATTCTAGGCTTCCGGTAAAAACTGTTCTCCTGAAAAGTTGGCCAGACTCTATGACAGTGGGTCTGGGGGACACTGAAGATGCACTAATAGTATATCCTAATTAATGCTCACAACGAGTGCAGCGGGCTTTTTAGTACTTTAGGCAAACAGAAATTGTGGAGGGAATTAGATTTTGTTTTACTGTGCACAAGGATTCCTTCTCCACTGCTTAAGAAGAAACAGCCAGCATCTCAGTGGGCTACTGAGAGATTTCCATTCCTCTTTAGTAAGGACGCCTCCAGGAGATGGTGTTTCCCATGACAGATCTTTACTTAACCTTCCTTACTATGATGAGAATAATTTTCCAGGGCATCATGGAATCTTTAAGAAACAAGAAGATTTTTCAGTTTTCTTAACAATGAATAGGGAGAGAACTAATGTTAAATTTGCTCTTTCATTACATCCTCACAGACAGAGGGGAGAATTTATTTTTTGGACTTCTGTGCTCTTAGAAGAGGAAGTTTTTGTGAACTTTGGGCTGCTTTGATGGGGTGGGGAAAGAGAGTATAAGAGTTGAAGATAAGTAAAATGAAAGGAAGAGGAAGCCAGAGGAATACTAGTACTTGCAGCCTGAATACTAGTACTTGCAGAAATAAGTTTGGTTTTTTTTTTTAAAAAAAATAACCATTTAAAATAATAAAAAATTGTTAAGAATGCATGTGGAGGGAGGAATACCAATAAAACAATGGATTCTACAGTGGTTGGTTTTTCACAGCTTGAACCATAATTATAAGATTTCAGTGTCTGAATGATACTGGCTAAGCTTTATGTGGGAAGCAAGAGCCTTAGTTGTAAAGATTTGCTTCAAATTGTTGGGTTTTTGTTTTGTTTTGTTTTTCATTTTCATACAGAGGTTGATTTTTACATGGGTCTGGAAGCTGGTGCTGTGTATTTTATTACTTATTTGTTACGTATATATGCTGCCTTTCCTCTAATGAGTTAGTGGGAAGAAAGCAGCACGCCAGAGACTATAAATCTAGGCACATGCTGTCCACCACAAAAAGTTTTCACTTTCTAGGTAATGATATATGTGGCCTTTAGAACATATATTGACATCATCAGTTTGTGGCATCAAGACATGCTGTTATAATGTACAGTAATTCTGTTTCAAGCGTTTTGGTGAGGAACACATGGAGTTCTGTGGGAAGACAGCCCTACAGAGTGTATGTGTTTAAAATGCAAAACCAGAAATTGTCATAAATCCATTGCTTCATTTAACTCTGTGTGAAATCTCCTTCACATATCAATCACATGAGGGGGGCCACATAATCAAAGCAATGGCAGGAATGCACCTCTGGGCAGGCCACATGTCTCAATGAGCTACTACACATAGTTGTCTTACCTTCTGCAGATGTTCATAGTATATTCAGTGCATTAAAAGATGGGGGATCAGCTTCAGGCCTGGAGCCAACAACACAGCCCTGATGCTCCTGTAATCTTGTGGACCTTTTCATATAAATTAAGCTTAAGGGAATCAGGCAAGGAAGAACTGGGATTTTTTTTCCACTTTGCACTGCTGCTACTCCTACATTCACTGACTTGCTTTTAGCATGGAATAGCAGTCTGTCTCATTGTTTCTCAGAGAGTTACTGCTGAAAACTCTGTAAATATATGTGACCCTCTTGCCAGTGCATATAGATCTCCTTTATATTCTGGCAAATCAAAACTATTGTAGTTTCAAAATGTAGCCCATCATATGAACATTAACTTGAACACCAGTATAAACCTTACAGCAAGGGGTGAGTGATCTCAGAGGAGCTAAGGACTATTATTCAGGTTTGTCAACATCCTAAGAACTACAGTGTTAAAGACCACATGTGGCCAAAGTGGCTAATTTGTATATTGAAATTTTTATTGGTTTTTGTGAAAGTCATTAAAATAGGGTTATTTTAAATTGGCAAATGGATTTAACTTTCAGAAATTATTAAAATGAAAGCTCCTTCATGCCCTCTAATAGCAAAAAAAACCTATTTTTTTTAAAAAAAGTAATTCCCCTCACCTTTGTACTTTTTCTGTCAGCTTTCTCCCATCTCTAGAGAGAATTTGTCATTCAGCATTAGGCGTGACATTTTGCTGCCCAAGGCAAAGAAGCAGGTGATGGATATGAACACACACACTCGGTTCAAAGTGACTGCGGCCCAATGCCAGTTAAATTATTATTGCATTGGAGGCAGAAACATCCGGAAGCACATTTTTCACCACCCTGACAGTAAAGTTAAGCAATTGTAATTTAACAAACTGACCATTTGCTGCTTTTATGACACCCACATTTTGACACTTGAGGTGCCTGATTCCTCTGTCTAGTGGTACTGCTCAATTAGACTTTGAGCATCATAAAAAGGCAGAAAATGATCAGTTATTTGTTGTGTTGTTATAATTAGTGCTTAAAAATACTAACCATGCTGCATAGTACCTCTGTGTCAAATCAAACACTGACCTAGCTTTAAACTAAGTTTGAAAACTATTTGTAATCGTAGTTTCAAATTCTGGGTGAAAAACAAGTTGTGGCCGGCCTGCATTCAGCAAAAGAAGGATGTGTGAAATAGTGGTGAGCAAGAAAGTGTGCGAGAGTAGCAAAGGCCTGGCGGGCATTCCCTTTGTCTTTAAAATGACAAAGAAATATGCTTTTGACCTAAAACATTTTTAGAAAACTTACCTACTTTTGTGTCTACCCATAATTTCTCTCAGGCTATTTTAGTTCTTAATTTTTTGTGATTTTCTGCTATTTCCTTTTTAGCAGGCTTAGAAGTAGGAAGCGGTCTCTCCAAAAGGCTGATTACTGACCTCAGATACAGAGTCTACTGGATTCTGGCCCATTTCTTTCGTAATAATTGGCTGCCCTCTCTTATGACTTGCAGTATTCCACTTTGTAGGTTTTGACCTGAATATTTAATGCTGACTCTTTATCAAATTCTTAGTAATGGATGTCTGGAACAGAGGGCACTTTATTTTGCCTGGAGATTTGTCCTCCTTTTTACATTCATGGTCTCCATGATGTATGTTTGCGAGCTTTTTATTCATATATTTAGCTGTCCTTTCAAGTTCTTAATCCATTTATGATAACATAAGGGTTTGCCCATATGGTAATTTCACAGCCATTTACCTGGAAAACACACATTTATAGATCAGTTAAGGTGAATTATATTTTAAATGTTGAATTTTGATCCAATGCTTGTTTCAGTGGGGAAAAAAAATCTCAATTGATTTTCTTTACGAATGCCAATTGTTATCTGCCCGATTCCAAGCATACAGTTATTTAATACCATCTTTGCTCATTTGACTTGTAAAGATCATGCCAAGACTATTATATTCATTATTTTGTCTGATCATTTGTTTATGCTTAGAAATGTCATGTTTCTGTTTCGTTGTACAGGTACTTCTCTAGTGTGGCTTTAACAGCACTTATTATTGTACATTTGGCTTTAATTCTTCCGCAGCTGCCTGTCAGATTGTTTCTTGTTCTCTTTATGTTCCTCAAGCTCTCCACATACATATCTCTTGTAGTCCTCCTTCATATGAGAAGGTGCCTTACCTGCCTTTCTTTATAGCAGTGCTTTTTAAAAGATTTATGGCACAGGAGATCACAAACATGTCTAGCAAAGCCCTCTTCTGTTTTCTTCTCTTGATCCTCTTCATGTTCTGTTCTCTTCTCCTGTCTCTGTGTTCATTCAGAAATAATAATCTGTAAAATCTATCATCCAGTTCTGAGGCATTTAGAGTTATTTTACATCTAATATGTTAGTTCTAGTTCTGCTCACCGTACCCTACTTAGTAGGACCTAAAAGACTTATGTAGCGTATTCTCTACTTTGTCTTCCAGATCTTTTATAAAGATATAAAACAAAATGGGACCGAATTGCGATCCCTGGATCCTACTGGAAATCTCTCCCCAACTAGATGGACTGCCAGTTACGATTACTCTCTTAATACGGTTAGATAGCCAGTTTTTGATCCATTTGATTGTACTAACTTTCCAAGAAATCTTATGTTAGCCTTTTAGTCATAAGATATTGTATAGTACTATATGAAATGCTTGACTAAAACCAAGATAAAATATCCACTGCATTTTCATCTTCCATTATGCTGTAATCCACTTTGAATTCTTTTACAAGAGCAAAAATTTTTTAAAAATACAGAGAGATATACAAACGCACACATATTATATTGTGAAAGTCAGCATTATTGTATTAATGTGAGCCCATGTTCATTTAGTTCTTCATATTATTTTTCTCTGTCAAGATATACCCTCCTTTTGTTTCAGTATTACAGAGAAACAAATTGCCAAATTACTAGGATGGAGTCATAATGACACCTTATTTCTAACCTTCAATAGGGAATATGTCTCCATATAGATATGTTTAGTCTATATTATATTTTTACAGATTTGTGAGGCATGTCTGTGGTTGAACAGTTCTTTTGTAATGTATATTTGGTCGTTGTGTAACTGTATTGACCCAACTCCCTCCCTCCCTCTCTCCCTCTCTCTCTTGTCGTATAACTGTATTGACCCAACTCCCTCCCTCTCTCCCTCTCTCTCTCTCTCTCTTGTTCTCTTTTACCCCTCTCTCTGTGTGTACATGTATGTGTGTGTGTGTGTTTAACTAATAGTTTGTTTAGTGTAATCTGTCTCCAGTTTTTCTGAGCCTGTGCTTTATTCTTCCGTTGCTGACTTATTCAGTTGTGTTTTTTTTTAATGAATAGAGACACATGACGAAAGCCATCTTGAAATCTTCATCCATGTATTTTTTCACACTGCTTTGATACTATACCATCTTGCATTTGCTTTGCTCCTGAATTATATGCAGCTCTAGTTCCCTTCAGTGAGGACTGTTTTCTCTTTGTTTTCCATGCAGCCATTTGTAGTCCTGGATCAAGAATATCTAGCATTGTATTTTTTTTTTCTGGACAGCTTCTTTGGGCTTATACTAATCAGAGATTGAACATCCTGTGCTCCTTTCATTTACTCTTTTGGGGCCACTAACACCTCTTCTCTCTTGTTTTTTGTTATTTAATGTGTCATATATGTTCTTGTTTCATATGAAGATGCTAGAGCAGTAGTGACAGCAAAAATAATATATCATTAGCCATGTTAACAAAAATATGTGTGTGACAATGAAGAGGATTTGCTGAACAGTGATTCATGAAAGAACAGAGCCCAGACTCTTTTGCCAGGAAACTCTCAATCCTCTACTGTCTTTTTAATGCAAATTTTATACATGTGTTATGGGTGTAAAAGTTGCAGAATTTCAGTTTTTTGTGCCATAGCAAGCTTTATTTTGTTACTTATATTTCAAGCCTAGGTAAAGGTAAAGGTTCCCCTTGACAATTTTTTGTCCAGTCGTGTTCGACTCTAGGGGGCGGTACTCATCCCCATTTCCAAGCCATAGAGCGAGCTTTTTTGTCCGAAGACAATCTTCCGTGGTCATATGGCCAGCACGACTTAGACACGGAACGCTGTTACCTTCCCTCTGAGGTGGTCCCTATTTATCTACTTGCATTTGCATGCTTTCGAACCACTAGGTTGGCGGGAGCGGGGACAAGCGACGGGAGCTCTCTCCATCACGTGGATTCGATCTTACGACTGCTGGTCTTCTGACCCTGCAGCACAGAGGCTTCTATGGTTTAGCCCACAGCGCCGCCACCATTTCAAGCCTATTTACATACAATTTTAAGTTATCCAAAATATTATACCACAGTATATTAGACCAATGGCTTTTAGCAAGGATCTGCCATTTTGTCAGGCATTTCTGTAGTAGTAACTTCCTCTGGCACTTAAAATTTTTCTTCACAGCATGTGATAAGACTGAAAATATTAATTCACTCTCAGAAGTAGTCTGTACTTACGTGGCTAATACCTATGAATTTCGATAAGAAATATTGAATGACCATGTTGAATGTGGCCTAAGAGTGCCCTGCACATTTCTGCTCAATGTTATCTGTGTTACAGAAGTCATCTAGAACAGTGGTCCCCAACCTTGGGCCTCCAGATGTTCTTGCACTACAACTCCCAGTAGCCTTCACCACCACCTCTGCTGGCCAGGATTTCTGGGAGTTGAAGTCCAAGAACATCTGGAGGCCCAAGGTTGGGGGCCACTGATCTAGAGTCAGAAAAGCCAAGTGGCATCCTCAAACTGATAATTTCTATTGCCCATCAGAACGCAAGGAAAAGGCTGTTCTGGAACATTCAGTGTTGAGATTCAGCTCCATCCTTAAAGATTTGGCAGCTACAGTACTTTGACCACAGAACTGAGATAGAGAGACTTACCATTGTTTTGAATAAGCAGCTGTGGAAGATGGGAGACTTTATTTCATTATTGAACATCCTAAACATCTCCAAGCCAAAAATACACATTCACCTGTGAAATCTGTTCCAGAATGGATTTCATGTGAGGGTGGTGGATTATATCTCATATAAGGGCCCCTTTAAAAAACAAAGAAGGATTTACATTTCGATGCCACTTTTTTCCCAGTTAGGAGACCCAAGGTTGCTCACGAGTTATTAAAAAATAACTTTAAAATCTCTGATTCTGTGCATTCTAAGAGAAGTCTCAGATCTCCCCCTGCTACCTTTTCAGCTGTGTCTCATGGACATGAACAAAGTACCACTATCTCATGAAATTGCTGCCTGGTGCTTCGTCCCCTTTTCCTAGCAAGAAGTGGAGGCAGGAAGGAAAGCATTGGAGGGCCTCAAAGCAGATTCAGTTTACTGCTTTGCCAGTGTGTTGGTTTAGTTACAGTTATAGATTTCCAACAGAGCTGAAGAAGGTCTGTGACTCCCTTTTATGGGCTACACTAGTCCAGTCCTAACAACCCAAACACTGTTGGGAGCAGAGGCAGCAGAAAGGAAACTGCACTGGGAAGGCAATGAGAGGAAAGAGGAGAAGACTATAATAAAGTTCGAGACTCCTCATTTGCTAATTCATATCTGCAGCTGCAAAAACAACTATGTTGATCTCTTCAGTACTCAGTCTCCAGCTTCCTGTTCATTCATGCTGAATGCATTCATTCTGCACTCTTGGGACAGCAAAAATAATCCAGAGGGACATGGAATTACTGAAGCTCAGTGCTACTGCACTTACTACAGATGCCAAAGGAATAGTGGGGAGGAGGGGAGGGTTGACCACTTAGACACTAGGGGGGAAAAAAGAGGATATTAAGAAGGGGAAGAAAAGGACAAAAGAGGGCAGGATTTGTCTAGCATTCTCTTAACACAGAGAAGGAAAGACTTCTGGTATGTGCTGTGATCAGATCTTGAAATGCATCTGGCTAATTCAAACAGATCCATGAAATGTTCAAGTTCAAATGAGGTTCTCCTCCCCACCACCCTTTATGTACACTGTTCTACCGAAAACATTATACAGTATCTACTTTTCCTAAATTTAAAGGTGTATAGTACAACCTACAAGTACCCATTTAATTAATATAATGCTTCTGCTAAGGAGTATACTATACTCTCTGAAAATTTCATGCAGTTGTGAAAAACAGAAGCAAAGTTATACAGGTAGCTGTGTGTTGATTTCCAGTGATATGCAGAGAAGGGTGCAACATGAATTGCTGAACTGGAATTTCAATTCAGAACCTAGCTAAATCAGGCAGGCTCTGAACTGATCCAGACTGAAACTTGTGTTTGGTACACATTTGCACTCACAGACCTAGAAATATTGTGCCCACAACAGACAATTTGAATACCACTTTGCAGACTAAATAACTTGGATCCTTTCTGACTTAAATGCTGTATTTGCTGTAGGCTCATCAGATGTAATGTTGGCCCCAACTGCCCAGTGATAATAGGTTTTTTTTTAAAGTTTGTACAGCCTGAGGATGCAGACAGGATCCTTAGAGAGGTGGGAACTTTTATCTTCCTGCTTAAAAAACAGCTGGCAGGAGGTGGGGGACTGGCCAAGTGGGAAACGGGAGTTAATGGCACTTTGCTTGAAGTCATGGTTCCAAAGTGTCTAAAGGAGGCAATAGCAGAACTGCTTCTGAATAGGACCTCCTTGGATCCCATAGAACTGCTTAATTACCAGCTAGTCCCCAGTATCCCATTCTTGGTTAGTATATCAGAGCACGTGGTAGCTTTTCTTGGCTCTATGGATTTCTGCATGAGATGGATTCTCTAAATTCATCTGAGTCTGGTTTTAGACCTGGTTATGGAGTAAAGGCAGATTGGTAGATGGCGTTTGTGAGTAACTGGATGGGGAGTGTGGCCCTGTTGGTTCGGCTAGACCGGTCAGCTTCCAGTATCTAGTGTCAGTAATGGACTGGATAATGGTGAACAAATTTAAACTTGATAACTCAATCCAGACAAGTCAGGTCACAGAAACCTAAGCTGGATGAGATTTAAATTCACAATTTGGGTGTACTCCTGGACCGAGCCTGAGTCCTCTGGTTTTAGAAAGGGCCAGGACTGTATTTGCCCAAAGCAAAGCTAGTGCACCAGCAATGTCCTTTTCTGAAGAAATCTGATATCGCCACAATGACTCTTGTGATGATTACAGCCCTTTTGGATCACAGTAACACAGTCTAGGTAAGCCTGCCTTTGAAGGTTGTTTGAAATCCTAAGTTACTGTAGATGGAAACGCAGCAACCAGGCTGATGATTGGAACCAAATGTCGTATTTGATACTGTTTACTGTGGTTTTATTTGGATTTTTTAAAAAATGTAAGCCTCCTTGGGTCCTTCAAGAAAGTTATAATATAATTATAATACAGTGGCCAGATTATGCTGGTGATTTATGCTGATATTGCTTAAAACACGGTACCACTAAAGAATGAGTTGCTACTCATATTCCTGGTTGCATGCCAGCCTTACAATTTATTGTCTCAGTTTAACGCAGTTACACTTAAGTAGAAATAAATTCCCTGTAGGATTCTGGGTATTATAATTTTAGCAGAGGTGCAGTACATCTCACTGAAGTGAAGAAGACTCTAA